AGTTGAAATACCGCAAGAGAAATTTATTAAAGGTTTAGAAAAAGTAATCATTTTCTACATTAGCTCTTAGAAATACATGTTATGACTGTTCCTCTAATTATTTCAGAATACCATAATGGATTGGGGCAAAACTCCATTCGTCCAGGATAAATTTCAACACTGGCTAACAGCAGGTGACTAGGAGAGTGAGCATAAAAAGGACAGACATACACACAGTGCTAACTCATCCACTGTCTCCAGTGATTTTTTTGTGTCAAGAATTTCTTGAATTGACACCACTATCTGTGTAAATCCAATCTTTGAGTTTGTCTAAGCAGTGCTTGAACTGGCATAAACTTTGTATACACAATATCCTGCAGCAAGGCGCTGCACAGCTTACCTGTATGCAACAAAGTACTATTTCTTTTTGTTTGCTCTGAACCTACTTTAATGAATTTGCGTATTGGAAGAGAGAGTTAATCTCCGCTTATTAGTCTACTTTTATTTTTTTTTTTTTATATAATTTTAATTATTATTACTTCTCTTACATATTACAGCTCACATGAAAAATCAGCAACTCACTGTTCATACCTGGCATAATCTACTCATGTATGGATTGAAAGCTCAACCCAGAAGGAACCTAATATTTTGTCGTTATTCTGATGAAAAACATTTTATTCTGTTAAGCAAAAGTTAGAATACTACAAGTGGAAAAAAAACAACTTTGAAAAGTCTTACTTTTGAATTGAATGAATTTGAAGCAAAGCACACATAAAATTTGAAATGTCACACTGAGATTTATTGTTCTGTTTAATAATTTTCTGATTATGTCACTAGCAAAAATACCGCCTTCTCTTCACAAGAAAATAACATTAATTTGAATGTGTGATTTATGGAGGCAAGGACTATCAACCTCTGTGCAATCAAAAGGTTTTTTCATGACTGAGGTCAAAGAAATTTTTCAGATCTGCAAAGGGAAGAGAAAGAAGAAACACTGAGCATGGAAAATCTCAGGTTCTTCTGCAAGAATCCCTGGACGTCCTGGACTGCGTGGTAAAAACTTGCATACTTAGCTAGGAACTGTGGGAAACCATAAAAAGATTATTTTATATTTGGACAAGGACTTAAACATATTTTAAGTGAAATTAGTTGAGCTTTCTGAGTCCACAAAACGCCACTAAAAATGTCACAGGAGCACATAATTACTTTCTCTCTTTTCACATGTCTCTTACTAGACTCTTCTGTTTCACTTATTGGCCCAAATTCATAGGAACCACCTATGTCTGTCAAATTATTCTGGTGCCTCTGTAAAGTCTGAAGGCTGTTCTGTGCTTGTCCTGGCATAGTTCAGAACTGCACAGATTACATGTTTTTTTTTTTTTAATTACAGAAGGTATCTAGGGATATCAACATCCAGCAAGAGCAGCTGCAATTCAGCAGCTGGAGCCTGTCCTGCTAAAGGGGTACAACAGCCTAACGTGATTGCTCTGCACTGCTCCGCACCATTCCCCATATGACAGAATCACATGCAGCATTCCAGTTGTGGTAAAGAATCAGCAGCCTAATCTGACCAGGTGTGGCAAAATATCCTACAGAAATCTGACTAACTGTAATTAAAATTTGGTTAGTTTGCTCCTTGGTTCTGTATTTTTGATCCAACTGTGAATTTCTTTTACTCTAATATACCTTTCGCTTGTTCCCACTCCACCAGACTTCCCTTCCTCCATGCTAATCCCTCTTTTCTTTGACCTCAACCTAGCTCTGTCTCCTGAGCATACTGTATATGAGCTCAGCTGAGGCTCTGCAATAAGCCTCAGCAAGAGGAAAGTAAAAAAATTTACACTGTCCAAGGGGAAATGGCACACACAGCACTGGATTCTCTGACTGGTCCTCACTTCCTTTCTACCAGGTTCAAGGTTTGTGAGGCAGCAAAAGGTTCTCACCTAATTTTAACCTAGGAACCCAACACTGGTATGTCAACCACCTTAAACTGCTCTCATGCCAGGGCAGAAACTATGGCACCTCTGGATTAAGGGTAGTTAAACTGAACTCTACATACTGCTCTAGAGGTGCTCATCTCTCTCCACTGAAGGAGCCTAACTGGGCTTGATCCTAACTTAAATGCATAAGGATAAGTAGAGTGTGTAAAGATAAATGGAGAAATCTGGATCTAGTTCTACACCTTCTACTGACTGCCACCATGTTGGTGAAAGGGAACAGAAAGAACCTCATGAGGTTCAACAAGGCCAAGTGCAAGGTCCTGCACCTGGGTTAAGGCAATCCCGAGTATCAACACAGGCTGGGGGATGAAGGGATTGAGAGCAGCTCTGTCAGGAACAACTTGGGGTTACTGGTGGAGGAAAAGCTGGACACGAGTCAGCAATGTGTGCTTGGAGCCCAGAAAGCCAACTGTATCCTGGGTTGCACTGAGAGAAGGTGGCCAGCAGGTCAAGGGAGGTGATCTCCACCTCTGCTCTGCTCTGGTCAGACCCCACCTGCAGTACCTGCGCACTGGCAGGACGACAGGTAACGGGCACACTCTTTGAACAAAGAGTAGTCAAACATTGGAACAGGTTGCTCAAGGAAATGGTGGTCACCATCCCTAGAGGTGTTCAAAAAACGTGTTGATGTAGCAGTTGTAGACATGGTTTAGTGGGCATGGTGGTGTTAGGTCAATGGTTGGACTTGATGATCTTAAGAGGTCTATTCAAATCTAATGATTCTATGATTCTATGATAGGAGGTTCCATCTGAACATGAGGAGGAACTTCTTTACTCTGAGGGTGACAGAGCACTGGAACAGGCTGCCCAGAGAGGGTGTGGATTCTCCTTCCCTGGAGATATTCAAAACCTGCCTGGACACCTTCCTCTGCAATCTGTTCCAGGTGAACATGCTTTAGCAGGGAAGTTGGACTACATGATCTCCAGAGGTCCCTTCCAACTCCTACCATTCTGTGATTCAGTATTGTGTCCAGCATGAGAAAGACATGGAGCTGTTGGAGCAGGTCCAGAGGAGGCCATGAAGATGTTCAGGGCGCTGAAGCACCTCCCCTATGAGGACAGGCTGAGAGAGTTGGGATTGTTCAGCCTGGAGAAGAGAAGACTCCAGAGAGACCTTCTAGTGGCCTTCCAGTACCAAAAGGGGGCCTACAGGAAAGGTGGGGAGGGACTTTTATAGGGCCTGTTGCAGCAGAACAAGGATAATGGTTTTAAACTAAAAGAGGGTAGATTTAAACTAGATACAAGAAAGATTTTTTTTACAATGAGGCTGGTGAGACACTGGCACAGGCTGCCCAGAGAGGTGGTAGAAGCCCCACCCCTGGAAACATTCAAGGCCAGGTTGGACAGGGCTCTGAGCAACCTGATGTAGCTAAAGATGTCCCTGCTCACTGCAGGGGGTTGGACTGGATGGCCTTTAAAGGTCCCAACTCAAAATATCCTATGATTCTATGACTCCATTAGCTGCTGCTAATAGACAGTGGCCCACAGCAGGTACTTTCCTAAACATGTCCCTGTCTGTGATACAAGCAGCCAGCCCAAGATAACCCTATAGCTACGTTAAGACTTGTTATTTACTAACTATTTGAAGAAACTTTTTTCAGAATTGTTTAATCAGTAACAAATATCTCAGGAAAGAGCGGCAGTCCCAGCAATGTCAGCGGAGGTGTGCCCATGTCCAAGGAATGGCTATGTCTAGGTGAGCTGTGGTAGGGCACCCATGAGTATACAGCTTTCAATACATGAAAGCATAAACTAGAAGAGGGCTTAGGTGCAGGACCCATCCATGAGAAAGCCCAACAACTTCTTCCAAATTTGTAGACAAAACTTTCTTAACAAGAGCATGAAAGACTTGAGGGAGAAAAGAAAGACTTCTTAAAAAGGAACTGATAGAAGGAACTTGATCACATTTGTTTTCTGGGGTAAAAAGAACTTACTGCTTCCAATTTGAAATGCAAACAAACCCAAAAAATTAAAAACAAAGTGAAAAGCAGAGTAATTACGCAGACTCCAATATGCATCTATATATTCCCAAAGTCACAGACTCCAATATCCATTCACATATTTAGATTACTTTCATCAAATGTATCAAAAAAGACCACACCACACACATTTCCTTCAGGTACACCCTCATGCAGGAAAGCAAGAGAGCCCTAGCAAATATTAAAGCTCACACTGCACATGCAGTATCAGTCCTATCAAACACTTCAAGAAAACTAAAAAACAACCTCCCCCAACAAAATCTGAAAACAAAACCTCCTGATAACATTACCAAATCATAGTTGCTTCTCACTGCATTACTGCAACCTTGGATTTCCTCTCTGACAGTTTTCAAACTTCTGCCATCTACTAACAACTGACATGCTTGAACTGTTAAAAAAAGTAAGTTTTTTAATAATGTGAAAAATACTTTTCACCCTTCATTTCCAAAAACAGCTGGAGCAGTTTGGCATAAATGTTCAAAAAAAATCTCAACTAGTAAAGGACTGCCAAATTCCAGCAAGAAAGGTAAAATGACTGGGAAAAGGGACAAGCCACTGAAAGTCTTTTCTTAAAATGGAAACACTTGTGCAATCTCAACTCCCCATTACAAGCATTATCATGTCGTCTGAAAGTGAAAAACACAAAAGCTCTCTTTCAAGTGGACAGTTGGGCTATGGTCTGAAGGCCTTTTGACTTCCATCTTAGGAAAAATCAAAGGGGTTTATCTTAATGAAGACAGAACTTAAAAGCATCAGGTACTGGTTTAGTGTAAAGACTTTGCCATATCCTGCTATTTTTAACACAAGCATTTTACAAATAAATACAAACAACTTGAACTTTTTCACAAGCTTTAAAACTTTTACTGATCCCAGTTTTCTTTAGTCTATTTTCTGTTAGGATCTGTGCAAGACATGCCACAGGTTTAGGATTAAGAAATAATAAAAAAAAAATTTCAACAACTACACAAAAAAAAATCCAGTTCAACCCCCTTTCAACTTACAAAAATGTGCCTCACAGGGACCATAAAATCCATGTAATTACCTGCTGCAGGATCTGTAACTGCTTGACTGGTGATGCCAGATGGTGGCTCTTGAAGCTGGTATGTTGCATTTGTGGAGGGTGTCGTCGGGCTGGTGTTACTGTTTGTCATGTAATGTGAAGGGTATGGTGAGCTATTATAATACTGTGCATATTGGCCCTGGCCAAAACTCGGATAAGAGGGATATTCCTGCAAGAGAAAAAAGCAACTGAATAGTCCATCAAAGTTTTGCTACTTTTTAGTATGAATTCCAAAATATAACTACAAACATATGTCAGACTTTCAGCACGTATGCTTCCTAGATTGGATGCTGCAGGACCTAAAACTGTGAGGCAGTAAAACAAAACCTGAATTACACATAATTTAGCATGTCTTCTCATACAAATAGTTTATTAGACACACTGAGGAAGATACATGAATAAGAACATCAAGCCCAGACCATTAGTTCTACTATTGGAGGAAGACAAATTGAAAAAAAAAAACCTTTTATAAACATTAGTGTAACTTCAAATGATGCTAATTTCTTTCAAAAAGCTCCATTTTTATGGGCTCCATTTTTTCAGTGGCTGAGAATTCTAAGTTTGCCAAAGTTTCCTCAACTTGTATTTACAAATTTACCTGCTGTGAACTATTAAATCCAGTAGAATTTGTGAGTGAATTGTTTCCTGCATATATTCCTGATGATGTTGTAAAACTGCTGCCTGAAATGAAATGAAAAATTATGTGAATTACTAAAACACAGTATTGGAAAATAACTTCCATCATGCGATTATATCAGAAGGATACAGCATATTTGTAATATTTCCCATATGTTGACTGATTTGGTTGTCATCAGCTCTATAACATGTTAATATGTGGAAAGTGATAATTCATTGTTGCTATACCCTGTGTTTCATTATTGCAATAAAAAGAAAAACTTGAAAATTAGGCAGGAATCTGGGGCCACCTCAGGTCTGCTGAGTATTAGGCTATCCCACCCCTCTGAATAACACTCAGTGTTGTGGAAGTAGGGTGGGTTTCTTAACTTCCAGTTTTTGTTGAACAGTAACTGTGAGCCTTGTCCCGAGAGATCCCATCTCCCCTCCGTGAAGCCCACTGGCCCCATTTCTCCTACTGCCTTTGAGAACCGGGTCCCCTCCCTTCCCTGAGCCTCAGCCCCTCAGCAGAACAGCAAAAGCTGCAACTCCCTGCTCCAAGCAGCTCAGCCCAACTGCAAAGCCATTAGGATTCACTAATCGATCATGGACAGCCTTGGGCCGCAAACCTTTTTCTTTTTTGATGGTCTACCAGGCACGACACAGGGGAAAAAAGTACCTCTCTGAGAGGGGTGACCCAAGATCGAATTTAGCCCAGAGACTGAATTACTGCCTTCACCTCCCTCCACCCCTCTTCATGAACCACGAAAAATAGACAGATGGGGCTCTTGTTTAATACCTAACCTGAGAAGCTGTTCCACTAAAAGGGCAGAAACCCCCTTTCAGCTGTTTTGCCCTTGCTGGTTATAACCCGAGAGTGACACAGCCACCAGCTGAGACATATGGATGCACAGGGTGAAGCTACATAAGCCACCAGAAAGTCTGTAATGAGGCAACCTATTGAACTCATCCAGCGGGAGAGCACCAGCCAGCGAGGAGCTCACATTAAAGCTCATGGGTTGTTTACAGCCTCCCTTGCCACCAAAACCTGCCTTAGTGAAAAGCTATACTGAGACCTTAGGAGTAAAAGCTTGCAGGTGAGCAAAGGAGGCACGGAGGGATGGAAATCAACAGGGAGCCAGGCACACAGATGCATCCATCCTCTGAGGTACCTAACGCAACTCCACTAACAACCACATCCCGTGCAGCCATTACTTATTGAGAAAAGCAACATTTCTTGCAACTCCAAACAGCAAGAAATGCAGGCAGGGCTGCATGCTTAGTACAACCCCTGAAAGACATTTGCGAGCTATTTACTTTTTTAAACAAACAAACAAAAAAACCCAAACCAATAAGTATTCTAGCTATAAGAAATCAGAAAGAAAAATAATTAAATGCTTTGATTGCAAAAGTTACTAAAAACACATACAAGTTAAGCCTCAAAGTAGGAGACGTGAAGCCCAACAGAACTGGGAGTAAAAGATGAAGCTCAAACCTAACATGTGATAATGACTGTAAACACTTCTCTTGTATTTTCTATTAGTGCAAAAGCTCTGAGGTTGTTGATAGATGCTACTAATCCTGTGAACTAAAATCAGATTACTTCAGCAGAAGAGTTGACATTCAAGTTTAGCAGATAGTACAGATAAACAGTACTAATGAGAAAAACATGTTGTTTTAAATTTAATTTAAAATTGGAAAACAGATGTTATTTTTTATTATCACAAACCCCAGAGCCAAAATACAGCTGAAAAATATTTTAAATTGCAAAACTTTGAAATGCTATTTTATTCTAACAGTGCTTTGGCTGGAAGAAGTCACTGTGTCTCTTTATTTCCATAGTTATTTCTGAGTGATTCAGTAATGCATTCAAACACAAGTTTTATAGGTGCACGGTTGAACCATTCTGAAAACATATAAAAGGCCTCTCATAGTTATAAGAAGAAAAAAAAAAAACAAACCAAAACAAAACTTTTTTTGATGAATACATTCTCTTTCCACAGAAAGTTTGGCAAATAATTTGCAAGAGCAAATGAGCAGAGTAATTACATGCCAGCCAGCATCACCCCCTCTCAGACAAAGACACACACACACTAACATGCAGATCTCTCTCTTTCATCTCATGGTCAGCACTGGCTCCTATAGAGGAGGGGTAGGGGTCTCCTAGACCGTAACAAACATGAAGCAGGTTTCTCAGAAACAGCTCTACGGGCCACCCAGAACCACTGGCCTAAAGTAATTTTTAAAATGCTCCAATTTTGCCATTTGTTTTTGAAATAATTGGCCACGGCATGGCATAGAGCTGCTGTTCCTGCCTTAGCTGAACAGACACAAAAATAAGAGTATCTATGAAATGCGTGAGATTTACTGCCCCAAGCTGTCCAGCTACGTAGCTTTAAAATGTGATAAAAGCTGTAAATTGCAGGTCAAAGGTCTATTTTACAAAGAGTGCAGACCCACATTAAAGCTGGGAATCCCAGTCAGCGTCGGAAGGCGGCTGGACCCTGCTGGGACTAGGGCGCAGGCTCCAGGCGTGGGGCTCACCCCCGCACCGCCACGAGGCGCAGGATGCCGTCCTCCCCTGTGTATTTGCCACAGTAGTCCATTTGCTTTCCTAGCTCAGCCTCCTTGCCATGGGCTATGTCTATCATCAGGGTACAATATATGTGGCAGAAGTTTAGTGCAGCTCTCCTGGGAAAGCCTAAGACAGCCAGATGGGCTATTTAAACTCAAGGTTTCTTCCGTTTGCTTACAGTGTTAAAAAAACCTTGGCAAACACCCCCTTGTTGTCGTAGTAACAGCTTAGCAATCCAGCACAATATTTTTATACTGTATAACAATAACTGAATACCTTAACGTTTACTTTTTTTATGGATGAATCCCCAAACCAATTGGTTAGCACATTCTCAGACATCACAGTCTTCGTAACCAAAAAATGCTGGTGCTCATCACAGGTCTAGAACCCTTCCAGTGGTAGAAGAATCGGGTGCAGGGGAAAAATCACGCTTTTATCACAATCACAGGATACTCAAGAAGACAGGTGCAAATGGACGTCTTTCCTTGGCGTTTCCCCCAGTCCTTCACTTCATTTATCCTCACTGGGCAATCCTTATAACTCTGCCAATATAGGAACAACGGCCCATTCCCACAGCCATTAGTCATGTAAGTGGTCTTTCAAAATCTCTGAAGCAACTTATATGAAAATCAGCTTAAGGAATACGCTCATTAAAGTAAGGGTGGAGGGGTGGGGGGGGATGGGGTGGCAGAACCACCCAGCTCCTCTTCCCACCCTCTCCCCTCTGCACCCACTGTTAAAGGGATGGTAAGTTTGTAACAAATGAAAATCCAGTTACCAGAATAACCTTAGCAAGGAGTCACAGGCAGCGATTTTCCTCATCATTTTCAAAAGTTGGCAGTCTCTCCCTCCGCTATTGTTCGGTGACTAATCACGCTGTAATTTTAGCAGGGTCAGGAAAAGCACTGGGTTTAATTGGCTGCACACGCACCATGAGGGAGCGCCTTTACGTTGCAGGGGGACATTTGCCCCAGGGAGAAGAACCGGAATAACTCCAAAGCTTTTGAGCACGAGGTAACCCCAACCAGGGAGCGTGAGCACAGCAACTGCAAGGCTGCTAGGAAATCCCCTTTACTGCAGGCAAAAATGCCAGCAGGGCCCCGAGCACGCTGTCATGTAACGCTTGGTTGTGAAGTAGGTTGTGGGATCCATTATCTCCATTTAGCAGCTCAGCAGCCGCAGGCAGGAGATGAAGAACGGTTATTGCGGGCTATGACAAGGCCGGGGCTGCAGCCTGCCCATAATACTGCTAGAGGGGAAAGGGAGAATAAACTCATTTCCCTCTCTGGAGGCTTCTGCACAAACAACTGAAACAGCAGCAGCACTACCCCCGTCTGGTGTCAAGAGAATCAATTTTGTTCTTAAATAATAGTTGAAACTATGAATAGGTTCTCCTTCCAAAATTAAATGAGGAAAGGGAAACAAATGTTCCTGTTTACTTTTAACATCTGTTCAATCAAAAGGAAGAATTAAAGTCAATTTAAAGTTGCTTCAAATTCAAAAGTTGGCCTAATGAAAACATTAAAAAGACATATGTTCTCATGTATAGTATAGACATATACTGTTAACATTTAACTGCAAGAAAGACCTATTTGTTTAGAAAGGTGACTGTTTTCTACTTAGCTTCTAACAACTCCACTAATATTTTAATTTGAAATGTTCTCCTTATCTCTATTCTTATGGTCTGTAACATTTCTGTAGGAGACCAGTCTTGCTCCCATCCACACACCATGCCATTTACAAGCACAACAGAAATGACATACATACCACAGGGACATCCAGACTCTCTCACTCCAACCTGTGGCTCTTTCACCCAAGCCAGCCTCTCAGCAATCTACTGCCTCCCATGGGCAGCCAGCTTTTAGCCCAAGCACGGCACAGCTGGAGCACAACCCAGGCTCAGACCCCCTCCTTCCTCATCCCTGCGGACAATACTGTCATGAAATCAAGGCATCTGACTCTCCTCTCACTACAGCTTCACAACTGGGTCATCTTCAACACAGTTCTTCTGCAGAATTTTTTTAGATCCTTGCCTTTCGATGTGTACAGCTGAAATGCTTTCCAAGATCTTACTATTCCACCTCTTGACAACTACCACCCTTTCACAACCTTGACAATTCTGATCTCATACACATTTTGCATATCACAGAAAATAAAGCAATACCCTTTATGACAGACCTCTATGTACTCCATTGACTGAGTCCTAGCTCTACTAATGCCAGAATTCACTGCTTACTCTTAAAATTTTCCAACAAGCACCCTCTCACGTTATCCCATGCTGCTCCCCCTTTCCTCCCTCCACCGAATGAGTTTCCTGTAGACATCTGCAAAACTACTTCATTGTCCTCCCTAAACCCCCTTTTTATTGACAACCCTCTGCTCTGTATCTTACAAAAAACCCCCCACCTTTAGAGCTGTTAGATAATCAATATGGGGTGACGACTGCTTATTATGCCTAAACAGTGTCAGCTTTATTGCGATATTATGCCCTCCTAGCCTGTGTCTTTTATTTTAGCCTCCAACTTCTACGGGGGTTGTTTTTTCATTTGGCTATATAAGTTAGCGCAACAGGATACGTGACCGTGGCACCAAGGCACTACTGCAATAGAAATTATAGGCAACACAGACAGGATTTTTCAATAACTCTGTTTCCTAGAGACCATGAATTATCAGTTCCTTAAGAGCTGGAATGTCAGTCCAGGAGTTCCTTGTAGTTGCTGCTGGCAAGCATTTTGAGCTCTCTCCTACAGAGAGGTAAGGCTTTTTTTCAGTAGATGTGTGCATGTGCATTTGGTTTTTTAATTGTGGCTATCTGCAGAAAGCAAAACCAATAACCTGGTTATATTTATATATACTCCCATGAGCAGAAGTTCACCACTATTCAGCACGTAGATGGAATTTTGCGTACTATTCTTATACCATCTTCCTCTCACTTGTCAGAGCTCTCTACAAGTAAGCAATACTTCAGATGTCAGATGGTTACTTCTGCCCTACAGAGCTACTCAACACACAGTTCAAAAAGGGATTTTTAAAAAAAAACAACTCAAAACACCTCTCTTGTGTTTGAGTGAAGGACTGGATCAATACACCCTTAAAGCTGTGGAACAAAATCAAAACCTCATCCACTTGGTCTCTGAAAGCACTTCTGCCTCAGGACATATTATGGAGCATTTACATGATGGCGCACAATTTAAATGAAGCATTATAATAATAAGGAGAGGTGCCGAACCTGTAAAAAACGTGGTCCGATTTTGTGAGTGGTCACCTATTTCAACAATCCTAAAATCTGCAACACACCTGATTTCAAGTGTCAAATTCAGGGGTGAAAAGTCCTGCAGCAGACATGCAAAATTAGCTACTTGTTGTAAACAGAGATTTCTTTAAAATATCCCTTAAAGTGGTGAAAATCCAGAGCCATGTACACCCAGCAACTTCCCGATACAGGAGGGGAAAAAGGAATTGGGAGAATAAGGTGGAAAGATACTAAGTAAACTAAACAGACAAGCAAGATTACAAAATACAATTGATAATAATAGCCCGTACATACACAGACTTACAGTTTTTAAATAGACTTCAAAGAAACAGACTGCAATCATTACTTAGCCACATCCACAGCTGCAGTAGGTATTTTTATCTCCTTTCGCCTGCCTGAACACACTCAGGTGTCAAACTATATTTGGCACTTCCTAAATTCATAAACCTGACACATTTTCCAGAACTCGCTCTGTCACATTCACTATGTGTTAAATTACTGCTATTCGGAGATACAGTTTTACTGTAATAACACTACAACACTTCAAGATTTAAAAATTAATGAAGTCACTAAGCAAGGGATCTTCCAAACTGCTGAGAGCTGGCCTGTTGCTGCTCTCAGAAAAGGCAGTCACCACTTCAGCTTCAACTGCAATAACATCAGCAGGGAGTCCTCAAGCAAACATTCATTTTTATCCTAGGAATGAAAAGAAATAAGGGGGAAAAAAAACCCCATAGCATTAACTATATCTAATTAACGGTAATATCTGTTTATACAGACCTTGCATCTGGTAGCTATAGGGAGCCTGTCCAGGTTGAGGTGTGCTAAAGCTGGCACCGTAGCTCAGAAATCCTGTCTGTCCAGGTGACTGTGACTGTGTCAATCCACCTTCTGTCTTGATGCCTGCCCACAATGCACCTAAATCAGTTAGTGACAGCAAATCTATTTGTTCATATTCAAAAAGGGATGGAAAAGAAAATCACTTCATTAACAGCATTTTTAACATATACCTAATATTGCATGCATGAAAGAACGAACATTGAGAGCATGCACAAATGAACAGGGTAAGGATAGTCCAAAAGCACACATAAAACTGAAGTTCACCAGGGAGAGGTTAAATTCAAAACTGTGTTTCCAATAACTGCAAAAGAAATTTATACATGAACAGGAAGCTGCATTATTCCTTTTTTCCTTTCCTGCCAGAGGCTAACTTTTCCATATATTCATGACATTTCACAGAAGTAGATTAGCAACTTTATATGATTTTAATGAAACGTAGCATAGCCAGGCTCTCCTACCATCCACCCATCAATGACATAACTGAGATTTGCATTGTATATTATTCCTACATGAAAATTACATGGGTCTGAGTCCAATAGCTTTCTAAGGAATTAGAAGTGGATAAAGAAAACTTGTAGCATTAAGCATAAAGATGATTTTTCAAAGCTTATTAAACACTATAGGAGGCATTCAGTCTATTAACAAATAAACAACTTAGACAGGAACTATTCCTGAAGCAATCTCCCAAACTGGGAAAAAGCATAGCAGAGAGTCATTAATCTGCACTGACAGGGAAATCCATTACACATCGCATTACCCTCTCACTTCCAAATTTAGTAATATAAGAATCCAAAGTCCAATTACATGAATGATTTGCCTCCCAGCTTCAGTGATTCTTCCTCCAATTTGTGAGGCAACAAGCAAGTAAATATCAGCAAGTGAAACACTGAGGAAATGCCCACAATTCAGCCTCTGTCCCTTAGTTTTAATTATAAGGTTGTCCCAACATGAACTACGATTTTAAAATAAATACAGCCAAAGCAATGGAAAAGTAATACAATACTCTTAGGCTTCACCGTGGCATTCAGTGATACCTCATTGTTCAGAAACCACCGTTATTTGAACTGAATTAACTAAGTGTGAATCAGTAACACTCCTTTGAAAATAATTGCTAACCTAAATCCATTTCCTGCTTGGATTTTTGTTTTAAAGCAATATTCAACAACGTTTGAAGGTAGGAGAGGGCTGAGAAGTTACTGTGTTTGCAAAACCTCAGTATCTCCCTATATACAAATGGCAGCATATTTTCTTCTGCCATTTAAATCACTATTTCTCAACTGCTGTCATTAATTACCCTTAATTCCTTCTGCCAGACCGACTAAGCGCCAGACTAACCCTGTTTGCTTGTTTTTCCCTGATGCTTACTTGCTTCTTCTGTTTCACGTTACAATTAAACAATCGCAATGACGAATCTGACACCTCGTTTCCACAAGGAAACTCCTGCTACGGATGTTTTGGTACCAGCAATCCCTATTTGTTGTCTGTTTAAGGACTTCTGAAATGCTGACTAAATATTGCTCAGGGAAAGTTTAAGTAAATTAAGCATTACATTTCTAGTCCAGCTTTAACAGCCTGATTCATCTCTCCACCTCAGACGAAGAGGGAGGAGATGATCAAAGGCAGCAGCAGGAGGATGCCACTTGAGTGAAGACAACTTGGCACTGACATGCCCTTTTGCAAACCTCCATGCTATGAAGAGCCTTTCATCTCCTGGGACTTATTCTTCCCACCAGCTCTCATCCAGAAGGCCTTCACTCATCACACCTTGATGCTCCCTTCTCCTTCTCCCAAGTCTAATGTATACAAGGAAGCGGGACAGGACAGTGAGAAAACATAAGGGGACTGCCAGGATCTGGAAAGAAAAGAAGTTGGTAAGCGAAGCCTTTGCTTCATGCTGGTACCAGAGCAGGCAGAAGGAGGGTGCTTCAGGAAATTCTCCAGCCTCCTCAAGGGCTTTGCAGATGAAGCAGAGCCAAGGGCCCCTGAGAGGCAGCTGTCAGTGGCATTCCCCTCCACCCCCCTTCCTGCCTGTGTGGCTGCACCGCAGTGGAGGTGGGGGAGTAGAAAAATGAAGAGGCCAGAGATGCAATTGAGACAGCACCTTCCCAAACTCTGCCCTAGAGAGAAAATTTGAGAGAGGCTGATACGGGAATTCACAAATACTTTTTCTTCCAGTAAGCCCCAGACTAAAGAAACAAAAAGAAAGAAGCCCCCCCACTCCAACTCAGAGTTCTTCCTTTCACATATTCCTAAGTCTCCTCCTAACTCTCCTCCTGCTGGAAGCTCTCTGCCTGGACAAGAGAAAGGCAAGGCAGATGGTACATGGGGTATAAGCTGCAGACCAGAGGAGAATTCTGGCTCCAAATAAGTCTTCAGTTCTTGCAAATGAGCATCCCAGTGTTCCCCACAGAATTTATTTTGGGAGCATGGATTATATGATGCGCCTTAAATATGCAAAACTATATATGGTGTTAGGTTGTAAAACTTTCTAATAGTTACTTGTTTTTAAATATTACTCCTATAAAGTACAGCAGCGAGGAGCACCTTAGCCCCAACCACAAGGCACTGTCTGAAAAGAACTGAATGCATTAAAATCCACTTGGTTCAAGAGTGGGGAGTTTCAGTGGTCAAAAGCAACTCTGCAACATAAAACACTAGGCAAAATTATCCAAGGTCCTAAGCACAGCAGATGGACAGGGCAAAAAAGCAAAACAAAAGAGCAGGCAGGCATGTTAACCCCCAGCAAGCAGTTGCCAAGTAAAGCAACTCTTAATTACAGCTCCAACACAGGAGACAAGTAGTGAAATCAAGGCCTTGGTGGAGTCAGTGGGAGTTTTATAGTGGATCTCAGTGAGGTCAGGATTTCATCCAGAGGAACCAAGCAAAAAAATAAAAGGCACTGTTTGGGCTGCCCAAGCCACCACACCCAGCCAAGTATTCACACGAGGTGTCCACAGGAGAAACAGGTCAAGAAGAGCACGGTGGGGAAAGGTCTGCTATCACACCACCTGATCCAGCTGGAAACAGCAGACAAGCTCTCAGCAGCAACACGAGCTTGTGGCGGTGGGGGGAAGAATCCCCATCTCTGTAGCCTTGAAGATGTAGTTTAAATATCCTTAAAATGTTTTGTTTGTGTAAGTTTAAAATATGAGGAATGGAACTGAAACTGAAACACCCAGTTCATGTTTATAACCATATTTTTGCCTGTAAGTAATGAAGGCTGTAACCACAGGAAGAATGCTTCCTTGGATCATAATTATTGATGATATATTAATGAAACACATTTTTAAAGTAAGGGGAAATAACAGAAAAAAACCTGTTCACAATAATCTGCTGTAGGATACCCTTGAGACCCAGTGGACTTCAACTTGCAGATTTCAGGACGAAAGACTCAACAGTTTTGCACTTAAAAGTTTTAATGATTTTAAGGGGCACTGCTTATAATGTCCTTTTGGTATAAAACTTACATTACCTGAATGTATCTTTACAAAATATACTGCTAAAAGCATGTGGATTGTATATTTTTTAATATGTTCCTCCAGAGGAGTCTAAGACCTATTTTCTAATAATGCATCCTCGCTGACGAACTGTTATGTCGTCTGCCAGCAGACAGTCTGGCAGCAAAATGGTCTCACCCACAGCAGCTTGTTTTTAAATTAATTTTTTTTGGAAATATTTGCTACTTAGTACCATCTCCTTCATCAGGCAGACAGAGCTTTAGTGGCAATTTACCTCAATTTTCACCTCCAGGGAGTTTTAAAACATTGAAAGTGAGGGTTTTTTTCGGTGGGGGTCTTTTTAAAATCAGTTTTTCACCTGCTGAAAATCAGCACAGCTTCATTGATTCATTTGGGTTCCAGTAAGCTGGATCAGCTGAAATTCAGACCTTTAGGTACTAACGTACCCTACAGCATGCTGGAGAGCAGGGCTCCTTGGCAAGTCACCAGGAGCTGCGCCTGTGTAATGGAAGTCCCTAGATCTCTTTTCCCATTTCAGTGTGGGTTTTTTCATATCATCAATAAAAGCCTAATGGATCTCTCTACTTGATCCCAAAACAGAGTCATCATCCTCTTGAGTGGCTCCTTAGCTCTTTAATACATAGATTAAGCACTGCTCACTCCAACAGGGACATTACAAGTCTTCCACAAGAAATGCTCGAGAGCATGGCTGTCCCACTAAGTACTAATGCAACGGTTAGGTAATCTCGATCTAAAAAACATTTACCTCAGGAATAAAATAACATGGATGTGATTTCTTACCATATGAAGGGATTCCATAGGGTTGGCCGGGCTGGGGGTAAGTGGCATAAGCTGTAGCTTGTTGCATCCCTGTTGTAAACTGTGTTTGCCCATACGCAGCCATCGTTTGTGAAGAGGGGGTAGGAAGAATATGTGGGTATGGTCTGCTATTGATTGCAAATGAGAGAAAATAGGACAGACACTGAATTAGACAGACATGCGTGTACTTATTTTTAGCCATATTATAATCCTGCTACTTCATTAACACATGATCATAGGCTGTGCTAGACAACAGAAACTGTAAGACAAAGACAAAACAACAATAAGAAATCAATAAAAGAATAAGTAAAATAAGAACTTTACAAATATTTTTCAAAGACATTCTTAGCATTTAAAAATTATTTTTTTTTTCCCTAGAAGCTGCTGCGGTTTAAATTATGACTTAACAGATGGACCTAATTATTATTTCAAATGAGGTTAAAATCTGCCTATTTCAGTTATTATTATTACTACCACTATTATTATTTTTAAAAGATATCATACTTGGAAGGGTAAATCTGTGGTGGGGAGAACTGGTGTGTTTGTCTTGGGCTGAAACCACTGCTTCCAATTGCTGCACCAAGGAGAAAAGAAAGCACACAAAAGTGTAAATACACACACCAAAGACAAATATTATTTTTCCTAATAGAATTTCAGAGTATTAACAAGATTTTAATTAAATTCAAATATCATTGATACCTTAGATAGAAAATAATATTTTATCAGGAACTATACAAGAATGCTGAACATTAAAATCTTGATTACAAATCTCAAATACTAAATTGCCCCTTTGTACAACTCCTGAGCAATAGTTTATTCTTTGCTAGCACATAGACAACATTTTCAAATGCAAACAACCTATTTCCTAATGGAAACACTTCCCTTCATATTTTCAAAGGATTATTTATATCTCAAGTGCAACATTTTATTAACTTTTAGAATTTTTAAGACCTACATTTTATGAAGAAGCTTTATACGTGCCTCGATTGAAAACACATGGCCAGCTTCAGAGCACGTGTCTCTTTTTAAAAAAAAAATAAATTCCATAACACAAACGATATATTACCATATTACACTTCCTTCTCTTTCCCCCTCATCTTATCTGCTTTCTAAAGTGCTTTCAGACCTTCGAATCAGTCAGTATTGCATCAAGACGTCCAATGTGCAAATGTTGTTAGTGAAACACTTCAAGCTAGGAGGCTAAACAGCAACCTTCTCCCCCAGCAGGCCAGCGGCTGCTGGCACAGAGCTTTACGCCAACCCATCCCAATTTCTTTCGGTATTTTTGCATGCCGCCCGGAGCGTGGCAGATGTGCTCTGGGCGTTATTTTCGGGAGCCCTTCCCTCTCTGGTTACCGTTAGGGTGGCATTTCTTCTCTAGGTCCCAAGGTGGGTTTGAAGCCTTTGCCGGGACTGGGTCAGTGGCAGGTTATGAGACTACTGTAAAATCAGACAGCCAGAGAAACAACAGGCCCTATTGCTAAGTACTTGGAAATAAACAAGGCACGGATAATTACCCTTCGCCTGCTACCCCTTTCCTGGCCAACTACAGGGAAAATCCATCATCTTTATGTTCCAGGAGCACTCGCAAAGCATGGAGGAAAGCAGGGAATCTCTTTCTGTGCTTTCCACACCCGAAAGTTTTTCTTTTCTGTGGCCTGTGAGGCTGCAGATATGTGAAATGTTACAGTCCAGCCTTTAGTCAGATCACCACATATGTATGTGGCTACTATTAAACACATTACCTTTTCTTCATTCAGAGATTTAAAATGCTCTAAAACACTTTTTTGGCTTTCAAGTTTGATACTTTCTTACTCAAAGCATGTGCAGAAAATGGAGGCTGTGACAAGACCAGAAAAGTGTTGGCTACTTGGAGCCTGACTGGTTGCAAGACATGAAATTTTTCTACTCTGAAAAGATAATCCCACAACATAGTATTAAATCCTTTTTTATTTGATTTGCACCATAAAAATGATGTGCTAGAAATACCACAGTTAATCCATAGGTATGCAAAACTGTGCAAACATCTTAGGATTTTCTGACAGTATTTGCCTCCTGGACATTAGAAGCTAAGATGCGTTTGGCCTCCAGGAAGAAAATAAGCCTGACAAAAGAACGAATACCCTGATACCAAGAAATTACAATAAATGAGGAAGACCTGCCCCTCAATTACAACGCTAATCGCAGAGGCAGGTATGTTTGCTCACAGAAAACAAGAGAGTAATTACTCTGGGCCGGAACACTCCCTAGCGAGACTCCCACCAAAGACACAAATGGACATTAATAAGGCTGATGTTGTAACGCTCCTTACTCAGGAAAAACTCCGATTGACTTACACTATCTCAGTAAGATGAACAGAAATAGGGATAAGCTGCAAAATGCACGAGGCTTTTTAACAGCTGTGCATAGATTTAGACCACGTGGGATAACAAAATAGTAAAAGAAAAAACGCTAAGCTTAAAACCTTTGTTTATTCCTTACCTGATCCTGAGAAATTGTCTAAAGACCCGTCTGTGGTAGTAGTAGTAGCAATCTCACTGCTGCTCATTGGTTCTGTTTTAACTATAGAAATATAAATAAAATATATTCTATATGCACCTAATACTCTTGCGCACACATGCACACACACTCACTGCAGCCACAAATTCAATAAAACAAAAATCTGCCAAAATTGTTTTAAATCATGGCTATCGATATTTTGCATTTTGTGTATTTGTGTATACAAACAATGCAAAGTACTGGCAGCTATGATTTATACATACATATAAAATGATCAAGAGTGTTATTTCTGTCCCCAAGGAATAAGAGCCACTGTAACAAACCAGAAGTCCTCATGCAACTCTCTGCACCTGTCCTGATTCCTCTTAATCCTGCAGACCCAACAATAAGGGTCCACATTTAGATCAGGCCACACAGACATTTACAGGCTTGAAGGACAGCAATTTAAATCAGACAAAAAAGGAAATAATTTTTAAATAGGTTTCTCTGAGGGCTGTTCAATTTTTTTTTCCATCCAAACAACTTTTCAGAGGAAAAATGAGAATTTGTGATTAAGTAAAATAAGAATTTGTGACAAGTAAAACACTTTCCTCACAGTAGATTTCTCCTCTTAAAATGAAACCCAACTTTATACTCAGAAACCCTGAATAAACAAAGGGGACAGTCCTCACCAGACACTTTAAAGAATGCTTTTGCATTTTATTCCCTCTGCACCCACAACCCAACATAGCTGTCAGAGTAAAAAAGAATGAGAGTAAGAAAGATCCTCTCCTGCCTCATAATTAATTATTACTTAATTATTTTTAATAAAGCCCAAGTAAATAAACAAACTGCCCTTTCTGTTACTCCAGTGCAATCTCAGTAACAACAGTATTCCGGATCCACGGAGCAAGGATGGGGCTGACCTGGCAATGGATGCAAAGCAGCACAATACCTGCTCCCAGGGAGTTATCGGATCAGCACGGCAATCTCTCAAATCCATTTTTACATATCTAGCGTTAGGAGTTACAGCACACCTAAAGCAACTGGGGATGATGTTTCGGAAAACAACAGAGCTGATCTTACTATCAACATCCCACTGTTTTCGCTCTTGTTGACACACAGAGTCACCGCCTCCCACGCATCAGCGCTGTTGCATACCTGACCTTCCAGCCAGGCAGTTCAGTAACACTGCAGAAGGTGAATCCAAGAAAACCACAGTAAACTGCACCCTATTTGATAAGTAAAGCCCTAGGGCCATCTTGACATGGGTGTTGAGTGTATGCATGTATGTTTGCCTACATATACGTGTTCAGGAATTACAACCATCACTAGCAGAAACCCTTTTGGTGCCAGGTTTGGAAAGGGTGAGGGAGAGGCACTTCCCCCTTTTGACAAAGGACCTTTCCTTTCCTTGCCTTGACAAACCAAATTCTTATTTCCACATGCCTAACTATTTTCTTCACCTGAACTCAACCATGGGATTTACATGCAATCTCTTAAGATTTTACTGATCACCCACTATTTTCTTTTGCTTCTCACACAGGGTGTTTTTTCTGCACACACTAACTCAGGAGAGCAATACTAGCTCCACACAAAACTCTGCTACATCTGCATTAAGAAGCAGTGCAGCCCAGTAAGAGAAGTTTCATGGAGTGAAATGGTTGGTGCAGAGGGTCCGGTATCCACAGTTTAGGCATTAGCGGGGGTTACTTCATGCTAGGTTTAGTGTGGTCCCAAGGAAGGAGCACCCATCAGCAGCTGCAGAATGTTAGCTGCACTTCTGCAGAGCACCTTTTTTGCAAAGAAGTGAAGTCCAAGAGACTCCACAAGGTGAATTAACATGTGGTAAGGAAGTGTGGTCAAGAGGTTCATTTCAAGAGTGCACTCATGATCTGAATGACAACTCTAATACAAATGTATTTCTTAAAAACACAGAGTATAACATATCCAACATCCATTCCATAATTAAATACTGAAAGTCTGACACACAGATGCAACAAAATATTTGTTGTAAAAGAATCTATCCCAAGCAATTTTCCAGAAACCACCATACTTTTACAGCAAGTTCTACACATTTTTTTTTTTAATTTAGATACCAAAAATTATAGCATCTACATTATCTTCTGCTTTTTCTTAGAAGTTTATCATAGCTACATTTTACAGTCAGACTAATACTTCCTTCATAGATTACTCCAGTTTTCCCCAAAATTTGCAAGTCTTCTGAACCTAATTTCCATAATGAGATTATGCTTTTGGAAACAACAATGAAAGATGCTTTTCTCTATAGCTGACAGCTGTGGGGGAGGAAAAGGGAGGAAGATGAGACTTCCTTGGGGTAAAGGGTGGAAGATTTCAGTACATGCTTTCTCCAAACTCCTCCCCTCTTCTCTACCCAAGAAACAATTCTTCTACATTCCTTATAAAATAAAATGTCATTGTTTGGATCACCACAAACTAGCAGTTCAAGGACTACGCTGAGCTACCTCACACAATATAAAGACTTATAACATAATTTGTCCTAGATAAAGATTTTTGGGACAATTTCTTTCTAAGTGGATGTAAACACCTCTCTTGGCACTGGTTTAAAAGCCCACTTCATGTGCCTTTGCACCTATCTAGATCTCAGATGCTTGTTCAAGAGATGATTTTGGGCACAACCTCATCAAAATGAAATTTCTGTCTCTCTGACTCATGAGCAACGCTTCAGTGCATATAACTTTATAACTGAATGCTGTTTACTAGACATACTACTTTTGAACATACCAGACAACATGTATGAAATACACTGCAGTGCCTTCTTCATGGAAATTAATTCTAGTTGCTGACTGAGGTGCTCACAAACTTTTCATTACAACTGTTCCTTATGTCTCCTCTCTCAGCCGTTTTATTTACTGAGTATACAAAAAACAGGATAAGAAAGGCTGTTCACATTATTCCTGATCTGGATACTCATTAGTAGGGTGATAATAAATAAGCCCTATCATGCCACCTTTAGGAACAACCATGACCTGAACGGACCTTTGCACTGCAGCTAGTCGGGAATTTAATGAAGACGGATAGGAACTGAAAAGCCTTCCATTCCCCAAGCATTTTAATCAAACTGCCAGACAATGACTGCATATTTCCTTCTATCTGAGCCTAAACACATTTCAAGAGGATGAAAGCTTGCTATACAAAGAAATAAACTGGGAAGAACAGCCATAGTTTTACCCACTGGAAATATTTACCACATCTATTGTCACTGCAAAGGAAGGTCTCTCATTTGCCCAAGGCAAAAACTGACCTGCAACTGAGCATATTTCACCCCAGAATCATGGGGAAAGACAGCTGCAAAGGGATTTCCTAAGGTTACAAGTCTGCCAGTCTATCGCAGTAGCGCACCAGTAATTCATGTCTATCATGAGAGACATAGGAAGCTGTCCAAGGAGGCAAGGCTTTGGACAGGCATGAACCTGGCCCTGCCATGTGCTCCTTAAGCACTCTCTAGATTTCAGCTCTCCATTTTTTCCATGACAATTAACACTTCTGCAATGTGTCCTAACCTTTTCACAGGATGACCCTGGGCAATGAGTGGGAATATTGCCACATCTACACAGAACACATTGCAAGCCTGCCAGTAACTGCCAACAGCGTGCTCCATCATGGCAAGGACCGCAGGAAGTGAAACAGGGGAGTTCCCATTTCTGCTGCTTTTTTATCAAAACAGACCTTTTCAGAGGTGCAGAATTATCAGATTTGCATTATAGAGACAGACTGATTTAGCAATATGCTACTAAGCTTTTGTGCCAGCAAAATCATTCATGCAATAAAACAGATTGCCAGTAAGAAGTTCAAGAAGAACTCTAACGTATTCCAACCTGCTGAAAAAATTCAACACTTATTTAGAATTACTGATACAGATTTGGTTTATATACCAAGGAGCTTAAGAAGCTATGTCAACAGAGAGACACTTTTACTCCCTATTTTTCCTTTTCTAGTCATTTAGGAGATTCTAAAAGCAAAATTTAAAAAGAAACTGTCTAAGAAAACAACACAACCAAATAATGGCAAAAATAGGAATAACAGATAATAACACACATATTAGCTCTGAGAAAAAAAGCACAAAAATTCTGAGACAGCATAACTGCTCATCTAACATTGTATCAATTGTCAAGATATTTCTTCTTAAGGCACTCAGAGACCGCAAATGCAAAAATGCCGTATTACAAAAGGTGGTTAAAAATTACTTACATGGCAGTTTCTGAACTCCACAAAGAGAGAGAACTTCAGACCAGAACACACAGGTTCATGTGGTTCATTGGCCAAGTAACAACTCTTGAGTTCACAGCTTGTCATGCAGTCACTGGCCTATACAGCAGTGGAGTGTGTTACGGGGAATAGGATGCTGGCTGTTTTAAATATGGACTTCAAGACCTAACATTTGGCCATTCCTAACACAGAAGTCATCTGAATAAATCACAAAGATTGCAGCATGCAAAAAGTAAGGGTTTTAAATATCTTCTTAAAATTACATTATCTAAAGTACCTGTAAGGCTTGCTCTTCTGAACTAATCTTTGTTAACAGCTATGCCATACACATTAAACCAGAATAGAAATACTGTAAACATGGATGAATGATTTTAATTTTGCAGTTCTAAGACTGAATTAATACTTTAATGTTATGTTCTTTGTATTATACGAATAAGTGGGCAAAACGAAATCATTTCTGGCTGACAGCTCTCAGTGTGCATGGGGCACAAAGAGCCTCAACAAAGTAAGTGAAGCTGTTAGTTTGTCTATAGACGTACATATAAATACAATCTCTAGCCCTATTTTGGTTTGTCTTAAGGTGACATTTGCAAAAAATGTTAGCAGCTAAACACCAGGTAGACATCTTGATTAGGTATTTTATGTATCCATTTCCATTTGTACACTGTTTTTCTTGATACCATCCTTTTCTGTACCCACTAGAAGCCCAAAGCTCACCTGAAAGCTCAAAGACAATTATCACTAACAACAGAACAAAAATTCTACCTTGAATCTCTAAGCTGATTATATTTTCCATTATTTTATTCAAACTCTCCGCTGTTTGTACTGAAGAA